CTCTGAGTTTTTCGGTTTTTCCTATTTTATCCGGAGTAATTTTCAAACGAGGAATTTTTAAAGGAAGATGAGAAAGAAAAGGATACTTCCATTTAGGATCAGGAAAAGACAGTTGAAATTTCTGGTACACATAATGAGGAAAGAAGGCTTGGATAATTCAACACTCACATGGCATGATGAAGACAAATGTTGCAGAGAAAAACAGCGGGTAAGCTACCTAACAACGGGTAAATGGATAACGAGACACGGACGGCGAGGATAATACGGGACAAAACTTGCTTAGAACTACGAATGGTAAGAAGTTGTGACCATAGTACTCAGATGACTACTATTACTACTGCTGCTGCTCTTACTACTAATATTAATAATACAAGAGAATTCCGGTTAAATCGGAAATAGCCGTGAAGCAGATACAACTGCCACAAAATCAACAGGTTAACTGAAACAGGAGGCGAAAAAGCTAGCCCGAAAGCAATTACATTGACTTGTTCATCTTTTACTGTCTATCAACCTTTTACAGGTTATTTAAAGCCAGGCAATACTTTTAAATTCTAATAATTTGGAGAGAATTTACTGGTACACATAATGAGGAAAGAAGGCTTGGATAATTCAACACTCACATTTTTTCTTGTCCTACTAATTAACGCAAAACTGGGGAAGGTGAAGGCAGATTCATAACTTCCTCAAAGGTATTTGCGGGCATGTGAATATATCAAACCCGGCTGGAATTGGAACCCGGCCCTTCGATTTCCAAAGTCGACCCGTTATCTATTACACCACCCGCACATATAAGCGTTCACCTATCTTGGTACTGACCAGGCTCGACGTTGCTTAACTTCGGTGATCGTACGAGAATTTCAACGTGATATGGTCTTAAGTCCAAGAGCAAACAGTGTTACGGTTTTTTGGGTATATAATGTATGTAACTAGTGAGTTAGTCAAAATGACTTAATTACTTTTATAGTCTACCAATAGAAGATTAACCAATCAGGAGCCTCAGAACACTGTATCCGTCGTGTATAAAGGCGGCCATCTTTGTTTACCCTACCGGAATGACCAGAGCCAACTTGTCAGACGAACACGACAGAAGGAAGAACTACACTCTGCTGTGATATCCACTGCGAACCTGAACTACGCTTTCCTACTGTCTCAGAAATATTCACTGCCAACCTCTGGATTCTATACGCGAAGACGACCGTCATGAAAATGTCTAACAAACAGAAGTACGGTCGAGTGAAAAGCGTCTAGACAACCAGTTCCTTCTACTAAGGAAAAGGCTGATATAGATTAATTTGCAATCCGCCAGTGGCTACTGAGCTTAAGGATTAAATTGGTGAGTTTATTCTTGCTGCGCAAATCCAGGGGCTGCTGATAGTCTTGCTTAATAATACTGGCCCAAAATGTAGGTTTTGTGATCAATACATTGAAACAATTGATCACCTCAACTCAGGATGCTCAAGACACACACCCAATGATTACAAAAACCGCCATGACAGGGTAGGTCAATATCACTATGGAATAAAAACCGCTGGAAACTGGTATAAACATAAACCTGAATCTGTACTTGAGAGAGCAGAATTTACTACCCTTTGGTATTTTTCTTCCAAGACATCTGTATGATAGACTAGGCCCTCTTAAAACTTTGTTGGCATTCATTCTAAGAGAGGGAAACGGAATTTCAAGCCTCGTAGAAGACAACGAAAATCGACACCCCCTACTTTTCCCAAGAACTCTTGTCAATTCACAGATATCAAAGAAAAGAAATCCGAGGAAAGTTATGATCACAAACGCCAAGATGAAACATGGCACTTTTAAAAGATCCATCACCTCAAAAATTCTAGCATTATCTTAAATGTCCATTAACTGGCCGTGAGTATCGAAAAATAACCAATTTAGTGGAAATTTTATTTGATTGCTATTCAATTAGTAGAAATATAGAGGCTTAATCCTAAAAAGAAATAGAAAGATATTTTTGCCATAAAACAAACAGGTTTTCACATAAATGAAAAATGGCCGCCGCATATTGCAAAATGGGCTGAGAAAATAGATAGGAACTTAAAAGAGGCGTTTCAGGATTAATCTTTCTGTTCCCCAACAACGTCAAATCGATAAAGGCTCCTTCAGTATTCGTGACTTCAACCCATGATGCGCATCTGAAATCGAAGTGCTCCCAACGAACCAATTTAGTCGGAAGGAATGAACCCCACTTACAACTTTATGCGCTGTTCTTTGTATTTATCAGGCCATGTCACCTAACCGCGCATATTAGTGTACGATGCATGTGCCTTCTATAACCTTATCAATCTGTGTGTCATGATGGGGTGTATAGTGGGCTTTTATTTTCCCGGTGTCACTTTTTTTCTTGTGCTGCCGCCCCACTCAATATTATTAATAATAATAATAGTAATATCCGAGGATACCCGTCTACTATGGTGGCAAGGCAATCTTTATTGCAGACTCTCGCTCAGGCTCATTTGTGTTTGTTCAACACCCAAACTGTGGTTTATACTGCAACTATTCTGAGCAGACCTTAGTTACAGTTTCTGGGAAAGAGAGTGTTATCTAACATGATGAACAATTTGAACGAGGCCAGCACGCTCAACCCCTCGGCCAGGACGATTTGCGACTTTGTGCTAGCTAATTCCGGCTACCCAATTTCACTCACAAGGCTTGGGTCAACCCGTGGTATGGTTTTTAGGCACTTTCCAAATTGGGATCGCCCCTACCCTCCAGTCCGATTCCTGATAAATCGACCATGGTGAGATTCGAACTCGGCTTATATGGTCAGAATGCGAACGTTCTAACCATTCAGCTACGTGCCCATGATGATGATGATGATGATATTAATGATAACGATGGTGGTGGTGATCATGATGATCAATGAATCTAAACATCTTCATGATACGGTAGGTAAATACCTACCTTGGACGATCTGTCACCACTACAGGATAAAAATAGCTCTAAACTTGTAAGAACATTATCCTGAATCTGTAATTGAAGGTGCAAATCTTAACATCCTCTGGAATTTTTCTATCAACGTAGATTGAGCAATACAAGAAAATTGCCCAGACATTATTATCAAAAAATAGAAAAGAAAAGTCACAAAAACATCTCTGTGAAGATCTTTAGATAAACTAAGCAAGTACAAAGATTTGGAGATGGAAATAGAAAAATCAGATATTCAAAATCTAAAACTGATCCTGTTGTGGTTGGAGCTTTGGGTCTGATAAAGAAAGGAACTCAAGAATAAAATTCCTGGCATTCTATATCTCTAGAGAATCCCCCAAAATGTTTAAAACAAGCACAGCCCATATCATGCGAAGAGCTATGTCCATTGAAGTGTTTGTCAACAGCTGTCTTTTGTTTAAAGTGGAAGCAACAAAAAATAACATCCTTAGCTTGTTTTAGATCATTAGTTATGAACTGCAAGTGACTATAAAACAAAAGCAGGTTAAAAGGAATCTGTTAAAAATATTAATAATAATACTAATACTATTTCTATTACTACTACTACTAATAATATATCACCTGATCCCCAGGAAGATCATCAGATGTGAAAAGTTACAGGTGTGAAGTTAACGTTGCTAATAACCATAAACTCGTGTTTTCAGTATTTGCTCCAGGGTACAAAATTTCAAAGTGAAACAAATAAAAACAGATTTAGGAGGGAATTAGATTTTAATAGTGTATTGCTTGGGAGTTCACTATTTTTCACTACTGGGACCCTAACAGGGTCTACCACCCCGGGTCAGCGTTGACCGGGGAACAACAACAATTAAGAAGTGGTTCCACTCTTCTCAAAATCTCCTATTTCCCGATCAGAGGCCTTGCTGCCGGGTGTAGTTTATCGTCATACCAAGGTCTTTAAGTGATTTTATCAATCAGAAAATAATAATAATAATAATAATAATAATAATAATAATAATAAAGAAAAGAAACATAAATTTGGAGATGGAAAAAGAAATAATGTGGCGCATAAAAACTAAAACTGTTCCTGTTGTAGTTGGAACTCTGGGTCTGATAAAAAAAGGAACTCAAGAACAAAATTTCCGGTACATCATATATCTATAGAATCCCCCAAAATGGTTAAAACAAGCATAACCCATATCCAACGAAGATATTTGACTAATTAGCATTTTTTTTCTTAATAACTACCTATTATTTAATTAAGTGGAAACAGCAAAATACTGACGTCATTCGCTTGCCGTAGGTCATTGGGTATATGACCAGCATGGGATTATGAAACAAATGCAGGTGCAAAAGAATTTTTGAAAAGAATAATATTCATTTTGAATATTTAATAAAGTGTTTTGCATGACCCTTTTCAGAATACTTTACATAAATCCTTGAACCCTTTTTTGTTTATTTTTTGTCTTTTTTAATTGGAACGAATGTGTAGGCTTTTAATTAATTATTAATGGGTATTTATTCCGAATGTAAGGGACGGCATTTTTTTTTTAAGTCGCCACCCGCAGATAACACAAACCACAGACTTGAACAAGACATCTAAAATCGAATTCCGTTTTTAGATCCAGTTTGCAACTGTGTAATTAACGAAACAAAATCGTCTCTTATATTCGGAATAAATACCCATTAATAATGTTTAAAACCTATCTAAGCCGATACTTTTGTTCCAATTTAATAAAAGCGACACAAATAAACAAAAACAAAACAAAGAGAAAGCAATGAAAGTCAAACCAACATCGAAATAACTGAGACTGGAATCTCTCTGGAACTTTGCCCATTAAAAAAAAAAAAAAAAAGTGAGGCTATTAGCTGAGATTTTTATTTTGACTGCCAAATCATTTGTCTTTGATCGACTTAATTTTCTGACAGAAGTTTTCGGTTAATGGAAGATTAAATCGACAGATAAAAGCCATGGGAAGAAAACTTTTTTCATTGTAAAGAGACAACAATGACATTTGGTGAGGGTTTCTTGAATCTTCAATATGTCTCTGTACTGATTTGTTTTTTTTTTTTCTTTCATTTACTTCTTTAAGATTTTGCTGCTTCTCCAAATTGTCCTTTTTATCTACTTTTCCTTTTCTTTCTTTCTTTCTTTCTTTCTATAATTTACGTTCATTCATTCTTTCTTTTTGGCTTTTATCTTCATTCATCCATTTTCTTTTTCACTTTTATTTTCTTACTACGTACATATCACTTTTCCCTTTCTATTTTATAAATTTCCCTTTTTTCCTTTTTTCTTTCTTTCTTTGTCTTTTATTTTCATTCTTTCTTTCTTTCACTTTTCTTTTCTTTTTTTACTACGCGCATGTATATTTTCCCTTCTTTTTGTTTTGTAATTTCCTTTTTCTTTGTTTTTTTTCTTTCATTGTTTCTTTCGCTTTTCTTTTCTTTTTTTTACTGTAGACACACCACCTTTCCTTTCATTCTATTTTATTGAATCTTTCTTTCATATTTTCATTCGTTCTTTCTTTCTTTCCTTTTCTTTTAATTTTATTCATTCGTTCATTCTTTCACTTATCTTTTCTTTCTTTTTACTACATACACATCACTATTCCCTTCATTCTATTTTATTAATTTAACGTTTCTATCATTCATTCATCTATCTATTCATCTATTCATTCATCTATCTATCTATCATTTCGTTTTACTACGTACACCTCACGTTCCTTTCCTTTCGATTTTATTAATTTCATCTTTCTTTCTTTCTTTCCTTTTCGTTCGTTTTACGACGTACACCTCACTTTCCCTTCCTTTCGATATTTATTAATTTCATCTTTGTTTGTTTGTTTGTTTCTTTCTTTCTTTCTTAACTTTTTTCTTTCGTTTTAGTACTTATAACCTCACTTTTCCTCCTTTCGATTTTATTATTTTTATCTTTCTTTCTTTCTTTCTTTCCTTCTTTCTTTTTCTCTTTCGTTCTTTCTTTTTCGCTTTCGTTCTTTCTTTCTTTCTTTCTTTGCTATATCAATTTTTATGATTGTGCCCTGAGGAAAGTAACAAAGATCTGCATACAATCGATAAATGCTAACCAAAAAAGGAAAGAAATTGAAAATCTTATGAAAGAATCAAACAAGCAAGCAACGTCATTAATTGATTATGTAATAAACATACTAATGTGACATCGATCAGCCTGCAAAAATCGGACCGAATAAAACCAAATTGTTTTACAGCACGACGATTTAAGGTGTCTAGTCAAAGTGCATCAAATGTATGATTTCGCATTATGTTCTCTAAGACAAACACAACAAGCACAATTGGCAGCATTCCTCAGACGAAGGTGGCTTTTACTGAGAGCCGCTAACGATGTTTGTTCGGACTCAATCTAAACATTTATAATATACCGTAACAGTCAAAATATCATGATACTTGACAATATGCTGAAATTAAGATTACTACGCATTCATATGATCACATGTATGCCAAGAGAAATGCCACTGGGTGAGCTTGTGTAATCTGTGGTCATAGGTCGCAAACGGGCACCTCAGTGGGGTGTAATGGTTAGCAAGCTTGTCATGCTAGAACAATTGCGACAGAGTAGTGGATGTGCCTCATACATTCTGTCTTGTGAAACATTTAAGCTTAGAAAATCACTATAGCAGACACAAAGATTGAGCGTGATATGTGTAGGTACTGAGTAGGGTGAAAAATGTCACATCACTCAATGCCTTGATCAGTACAGAATTGGTTGCCTGGAAGATTTGCCATAGTAAATATCGCTTTTGAAACATTTCGAACAAAGGGGGAGACAATCGCAATAAATGTCTTTGTAGATTTTTTTTTGGAAAAGCGGAAAGGATGCTGGGCTAAAAATCAAGATGGAGTATCGGAGGTGGTAATATGGAGTCAATAATTCGGCTACTGTTCTCGGTATCCTGTGCGTTTTTGACGGGCCCACAACCATTTACCGTACAAATAACCACAATCGTCAGGGCAATCCATAAGAATCGGATCAGAATTTTGATAGTATCATTCCCTTAAAAAGTCTTTCGATAATCCTGGCCGGTTGTCGTCAGTTTCACTGTTAAAAACAAACTAACAAAAAAAAATCAAAAATGTTATAACAGAAATGTCTGCTCAAACATATGTATGCACTAAATAAAACGTTGATCGTAATAAGATAAAAAAAAACGTCAAATTAAAAAAAAAAATTAATTAATTACTTAACGGACTCATGGGCGCACGCGCGCAAAAGTATACCCGCACACATACACTTTGAAAAAACAAAAACATAACTTGCACCAATTATAAATACATATAAAAAAGAAAAAAATAGAGAAGTATAATCAGTCAATTAATGATATCTCCTGACGAGTGTACGGACGGATTCATCTACGAAACTCTGGAGTCGGGATGCTGACATCAATCAGCTAAGTGAAAAAAATTTTACTTGTGATATATATATATATATATATATATATATATATATATATATATATATATATATATATATTAAATAATGTGTATTTCTGCAGCAGGGATTTAGTGAACAGCATATCCATAACATCATTATTCGAAAAAAAAATTAAACATACATCGTAGATTCTTTTTTAACCACACTTGTTTTCAGTACATACATACATACATATATATATATATATATATATATATATATATATATATATATATATATATATAATAGTATATAGGGCAGCAATCCATCTTTCATACAAGTTTCATTAAAGAAAACTGACAAGGTACTATGATAAAGCTTTTATTTAATTCTTAATGTGTTTATATAAGTGTTTTCTTTTCTGGACATAAGCAGTGTAAAACTGTTCGAATGTTCTCTATATCTGAGCATGTTCGGTTGTCCGATTAGGCGTATCAATGATGATTACTTTAACACACCCACACACACACACACACACATATATATATATATATATATATATATATATATATATATATATATATATATATATAATATCTAATATCATTCTCTCTCTCTCTCTCTCTCTCTCTCTCTCTCTCTATATATATATATATATATATATATATATATATATATATAGAGAGAGAGAGAGAGAGAGAGAGCTAAAAGGAGGCACGGTGGAGTAATGGATTGTGGGGGTTGGATTGAGGAATCGCAGAGCCGAGTTCGAATTCCAGTCGAATTCATTACATTCACTTACGTGCTAATACCCTTGGGAAAGGTGCGAATTCTGGGTTCTATGGTCTTGGATGGCAACTGGTCTAGGAGAAGGACAACTCTGAATTCAAAACCTGCGGAGAGTCGTTTGGGGACCTTGTGGCACGTAGTGCACCAGGTCTCTGAGTTCGTCACTTTCAAAAAGTGTGGATGGTCCTGCACGAAACCTTCAGCACTATAATCAAATCTCATGTGCTGTTGTCGGGCTATCGGTTTCCTGGGAACTGATCTGCTTGCCCCTCATACGTCGAATTCGACGCGAGAGTCGACTATAACTAAAACCATCATTTTCCGTGGGTAATAGTATTTGAGTAGACGCCAAGTTTTGTAAGCAGTGTGAATTAGGTCGTCTAACGTCCTGCGCACTCGAGACACTTACTAGAGGAAATATGCTCACCGGTATATATATATATATATATATATATATATATATATATATATATATATATATATATATATATATATCTGTGATGTGTAGTAGAAATGAGAATTCAACTTCTGCATTGGCTGTTCAAAACTCTCTGTGATTAAAATGGAGAGTGAAACATCGAAGTAAAGAAGAGTTTTATTCTATATGCATATATAACTGAAACTTCCAAAAGAAAAAAATATATATAGGGAATAAGTTTGTCAAAAGCAGACTCTTATTAAGTCTCTCATTACACGCTTCGAATCTAGATACGCATACACAGATGCACGCAAACACTCCCCTCACACACTCTCTCTCTCTCTCTTTGTGACACAGCTGTTTATGAACGTATTTATGGAGATTTTAATCGGATCACTTAATTCAACGAAGAGTTAATTCAATATTTCTCATTGAAACGGATATTGTCATAAAAAGGTGCGAATTATTGCTATGAATAAAATCGGTTAATATTAAAAATAGTCAGATTTCATCTGGATCTGTTGCCAGCAGCGAATCTCCGCGTGGTCTTCAATTATCAACATGTTTTATTGAAATAGGACTGTATTATGCATATGGAGGCATAAAATCGTGACAATATTTTTAAAAAAAATCCATGTCGCGAGAACGCATCAAATAGATTATTACCATTAAACTGGTTACAATGAATGAAAAGCGTGATATGAATGAAAGGGGTGGTGGTAGGAAGTTAAGATTATGAGGATAAGGTGGATAGATAATTTATTAACTCTTGGCATATCGAGGTGAAGATTGTGGTGTTTAGGAAGCAGCCATCGGGTGTATGTTACGCAGAGTAGCTGTTTTCTTTTGGAGGGTGAGTGTGGGGGTAATTAACACAAGTTAAAATATATATATATATATATATATATATATTTTGAGGTGGAATTTTCTCCTTCATCAGCCTAATTTTACCGCCCCAAATCCACGTAAACAATTTACACCTCGCAAAAGCATACACATAAACACCCCCTTTTAGTTGTTTTTATATATATATATATATATATATATATATATATATATATATATATATATATAAAATATATATGTCAATAACAGCAAACGCGTTTAAGAAACTTTTAATTGCAGATAGATTTTTACTTAAAGGAACCATTAGTTAGCTTATCTTCATATCCTGCCTGGTGGCAAACGCTGCTGGTGGCAAACGCTGCTGGTGGCAAACGCTGCTGGTGGCAAACGCTGCTGGTGGCGCCAGGGGTGGCGGTCCCGCCATAGCCACCGAAACCGTGAGATCACCCCTGGTCGGCGACTGATGAAGACAGGGTATCTATCGCACGTGCTAACACACGTTGTTATATATATATATATATATATATATATATATATATATATATATATATATATATATATATAATGAGAAGCCACGTATAAACTAGGGTTAAATAAAGACTTGGGTATTTTTTTTTAAATCTTTATAAATATTTCAATAGTTAAACATTTTTTTTTAGATATAGTTAAAAAAAATTTAAACAACATCTAATATATTATTACAGTTAGATTTACGGTAAAAAATATTCGAACACAGTGGCGTTCCGTATCTCGCGACGGACGCTACTTGTAAACAAACCTCTAAAAACAGTTATTTCTGAAGAAAGATCGAGGTCGATCTGAAATATCAAATATAAGTAAATACTTTCATAAAAAACATTATTATTTTCTTAATTTGTAACTTTTTAGTTGTTTTCTCTTTCTCTCTCTCTCTCTCTCTATATATATATATATATATATATATATACATATATCACTGCTACTATCACTATATGATTTCTACCTTCACCCCCCAAAAAAAAAAAGAACAAGTCTACATCATTGGAGACAACAGCTAACGCTGGTGTTTTACCACAGTTTTCCTTCTCTTAGATGTCTACTTTGATGAAGGCTGATGTAGACGACTCCGGTGGTTTTACGGCGCCCTCAAACACCAACCTGAGAATTTCTTCGTCCTGGGGAAACAAAGGCCAACTTGCCAAAATTCAGAGAAACTTACAAATAAGAACAACAATAAGAAAAAAAAAACAAAAAAACAGAAGACATCACCTAATTACTCAGTAAAGTGCTCGAAGCCTAGATTATCTAGACAGAGCAAAAACGCTTGAAAAGTTTAATTCATATGAATGGTTGACCCTAGTCGTAACCCGAATTTCAGGCCAACTTCAGACGACTTGAACGCCTTATATAACGGTGGAGTAATGGATAGCAGCTCGGACTGAGGAATCGCAGAGCCGAGTTCGAATTCCAGTCGAATCCAGTTATATTTACTTCCGTGCTAATACCCTTGGGAAAGGCGTGAATCCTCTTCTCCCTCCATCTATGAGTAAATAGCAGGACAGACTGGGCTCTATAGTCTTGAATGGCAACTGGTCTAGGAGAAGGACAGCTCTGATTTCAAAACCTGCGGAGGGTCGTTTGGAGACCTTGTGGCACGTAGTGCACCAGGTCTCTGTATTCGGCCCTTCAAAAAGTGTGGATTGTCCTGCACGATGCCTTCACCACTATAATCAAATCTCATGTGCCGGTGTCGGGCTGAGCCGAGTTCGAATTCCAGTCGAATTCATTACATTCACTTACGTGCTAATACCCTTGGGAAAGGTGTGAATTCTGGGTTCTATGGTCTTGGATGGCAACTGGTCTAGGAGAAGGACAACTTTGAATTCAAAACCTGCGGAGAGTCGTTTGGGGACCTTGTGGCACGTAGTGCACCAGGTCTCTGAATTCGGCCCTTCAAAAAGTGTGGATGGTCCTGCACGAAACCTTCACCACTATAATCAAATCTCATGTGCTGTTGTCGGGCTGTCGGTTTCCTGAAACTGATCTGCTTGATCCTCATACGTCGAATCTCGACGGGAGAATCGAATAATATATATATATATATATATATATATATATATATATATATATATATGAATACAGAAAACATGTTCTAAGAATATATTTTTCCAAAAATAAAATGGAGATATGAGCAATGTGCTCATGGGCAAATGGGGGCAGTATAAAGTTAGAAGTTCATATATTCTCTGTAACTTAATATGTTTGTGTTGTACCAGTTTTGCATAAAGGAAAGGTTTGCATGCTTGGAAAAACAGCCTTCAAAATTCTGATTTCTATCCTGGCTCATACAGCGATTTTTGGCGCCAGAGACAAAAAAACATACCTATTTCAACCACGAATTCTTGTCAAGTATAGGTGAAAAGACGGCGGAGCGTCGGCATTTCTATTAGGTGTGTCTGTATAGAAAACCTGTATTTGAAGGTTTGGATAGACAAAGAAATTTTGTTTCACTGTCGGAGTTACAAAACTGATGAAAGCATGGTTGCTTCTGTTATGCGCATTTTTGCTAGGATTGGTTCAAAATAACTAAGCAAACCTTTTAAATCTCGGCTCGCTGATTCAACAGCAATGCAATCCTACAAAGATTAATATCTCCTCAATAAATTACAATTTCAATCTTTCCAAAATTGCCTCGCATTTGTATTCTATGCGTCTATTTGCATCACTGATTAATTTCTTTAAAATCGAACTCACCATCTCTCTCTCTTTATATATATATATATATATATGTGTGTGTGTGTGTGTGTATGTGCGTGTGTGTCTGTTCAGTATGTATGTCTCTTCACATTTATCTATCTACCTATCTCTGTTCATTATTTATCTATATCTCATCCATTATCCCAGTCCAATATTGTTCATCCATCCAATCTATCTATCCCACGTCTGTTCATTATGTCTTTCTCTATGTTTGCTCATTATCTATCTATCTATCTATCTATCTATCTATCTATCTATCTATCTATCTATCTCTGTTCATTATTGATATATCTATGTTTCTTCATTATCTATCTATCTATCTATCTATCCATCTATCCATATCCATCTCCATCTATTTCTATTCATTATTCCATATATCTATGTTTCTTCATCCATATCTATCTATCTCATCTA